TTTGGGAAAGAAATCAATCATATCTGTATGTGTGTAAAAATATTCAGATGTAACCCACTTTGTAATCGTTAACATTTTCATAAGCAACTTTAATTTAATTGCACACTTTTCTTAGTAACTGTAACAGATTACAGTTACATTTATTTTGTAATTAAATTATGTAATTCCGTTACAAGTAACTAGTTACTCCCCAACACTGTATACTGTACATTAACACACTTACTACTCGTACTGTGTGTGTAGCGTCTCTGCTGCTTTAGAGAGAAGCAGAAAATAATCTGACAACCACACTGTATTCAGGTGTGAAAAAACAAAATGCTGTTTCTCTCTTTAATAGAGAAAATGAAACAAATTCAATATCCTATCAGTCAGGACTCATTCCATCATGCTTAATTTTGTTGCCGTTTTGTTACTGCCGTGTTATTCAATCATTGCGGCATCTGATTTTCCATGAATGGCTTTTGTTTGTCATTCATGCATGCAGGTGGACTTCATCGGCAGTCCTCCTGATAGCGTTACAGAAAATGACCGCTGCTCCCTGCACTTCAGCCTTATGCCAGTCGAGCTGCCAACTTGAAAACCGAGACCTGGATGTTTACAACGACAAGAAAACTTTGTCCATCGTAAACACCACCACCATGCCAACAGCTGTTAACTATTTATAAAGAGGGTGTAACTGCGAGTTACACATCCACTAGGGCTGGTGTGGGGGCAGAGACATGGTTTTTGGCCTTTTAAGCAACAGTGGTAGCATAACGTAAGCAGAGCAAAATCAGACTTGGCTTAGAATCGAGGTTTTGGACGCAGGGTTTGTCACTCTGATCTGACTAACAGTGGGAGATAACAAGGTGAAATGTAAGCATTTCCTGTTGTGGCCTTTACACCATCTCGAAGAATGATTCAAAAACCACCCTCGGTGCGTAGCAAAATGTGGACGTCTGCGTGTCATGGCTAGTGTTCAGGAAAAAAAAAATCATGAAGCCGCAGACATAAAAACCCCCAATAACCCACTTCAAGTCTATCTAGGCTGTGAAAATGAAGCATATGGGTGAGCATATTGAGGGACTGTGGGAAAAAAAGCCAGTGTATCAAACTAGCCATGCGTTATAGCACATTTAAAATATAAGCCTGGTAGCCACAGGGGAGGCTGGCCTCACTGCTGTTCAGGTCCCTGGCAGGAAGACAAGTTTCACTGCCCACTTTTTTTACTCCAGACTCCAAATCTATATTTAGCCAGGCTTTTCCACTGGTATGCCTTTCTTTGATCGTTAGCCCTGTTTAACCCTTATTTACAATGGGCCCCATATTGGTCAAGGCTCTCGGGAGGCCCGGTCAGCGAGGGCACGGCAAGCCTTTTACGCATGTCTGTCAAATAACACAAAGTGCACCCAACCAGCTCTGACTGGGAGAGAGCTTGGCTGGGTATATGAAATATTCATGATTTATTTACAATGAATTGGCAAACTGTGAATATCAATAATTTCATTGTGTTTATTTGCTAATTTAGTTTCCTAAAGACTTGCAATCACTAGAGCAATAAAATAGCGTTTTAATAGCAATTATTCAGTAGCCAAAAGCTAGTTAGGGTTAATCTTGTCAGTTAAATTACTAATGAAAATGGTCAATAAAGAATGTTTTTATTTAGTCAACAATAAAGATGAAGAATGTGCATCGACAATTAAGATTTCAATCAAAACATACTTTTGATAAAAATATGAAGAGAGAGAGAGAGAGATATCAACAATGCTTCAAAACACAGATTTAAAGAATGAATAATTAAATCAGTGTTTTGAACTGATTCATATATTTTATATATATAAAATAAGAAATAAAAATGAATCAAAACACTGTGTGTATATATATATATGTGTGTATGTGTGTTTATGTGTATATATATAGGTAAAAATAAACTTGAAAAAAATGTTTACTTAAATGACTATTTGCAATAACAGTTCTACATCTTTTTATATTTTATTTTATTTTAAGTACTATAAAATATAAAAATGGTTATAAATATATAAATAACTAGTATTTTATAGTACTTTTTATAAGATGTAGAACTATGTTATTTCTAATTTTAAAGTACTATAAAACATAATTACTATAAATAGTTACATTTATAGTACTTGAAAAATGAAAATGAGAAATAACTGTTTTGAACCGATTAATTTTTTCCCTTATATTGATGGCCCTAGGTCAGGAAACAGTATTTGCAGAAGTAATATTGAAGCCACAATGAACTACAGACAGACTGTTTGAAGCCTTCACACATTTTTAAACATATTCACCCAATCGCATTTGATGCTGGTTTAAAATGACTGTCTGTATCACAACAATGATTAAAGTTCTGAACACTCACTCAAGCCATTTTTGCAGCCATAAAAGCTCCATTCAAGTGTGTCCACTTACATATGAAATACCTAATTCAATACGCTGAACTATTGACTGTACATTTTAAGGATGTCAATCTCGAGTACCTAGTTCCTGAAGGTGGTTCAAGGCCACATGGGTGTGATGAATCTTTTCAGCACAACAAAATGGGAACATGATCACAAATGTAATGCATTAAGGGTGCTTTCTATACCCAAAGTGATCTAAGTGAGCCAGACTGCTATGCTGTGGAGTGCTAGACACGTTTGTGCTAGAACATTCTCCCGAGGGCAGATAGCGAGGATTGTCTGGAAAGTGAGCAGTCATAGCATGGCAGTGTACTGAGGGCCACATGCAGCAGCACAGCTCTTGTGTCCAGCAACCCAGCAGAGGTCATCATATCAGGGTCAGGTGCACATGACCACATACCCCACTCGGGTTACCACCAAGTTCGTAAGCAGAGGCGGAAACTGGAGAGGTCCTCCTTCCACGCCACAACATTGTTTTGAGGGCACCTAATAAACAAACAGATCCAACCAAGGCTGACCACAACTGCCCTGTTTCTCACAACCAATAATTTGTCTGCCTAGAATGACAAGCAGGTATGTATGTGCGTAATTGTTGGAGTTGGTTGCCAGCTTTACCCCATACCTGCTAGAGTGGCTTGCCTTTCACCTCTTCCAGTAAACATTTGCCTGTCACCATGTGTTCCAAAGTTGTTGGACGCAACTCTTCAAACACATGATCGTGGCCCAAGCTTTATTCGTTTATAAATAACCAAGGTGGCTGACTGTTTACCACACTTTGCGAATAAACACACAGAGTGAACTTCTCTTCATAGAATGCAAACGGATATGATTTGATTTGCATTCTGTATTACGTTGCTTGTTTTGTAAATATAAATAAATCGAAAAGATATTTTATATTGCATGGATACAAGTTTGGGGACTTGAACTCATACTGTAAATAATGCATAATTAATATAATAATTAATACATTTGCATAAAATAATTACATAAAAGCAATATAACAGTTCTTAAAGTTATTTTTTTTAATTATATATACATATATATATAAAACACAAAATAAATATGAAACATGATTTAAGAAAGCTTAATTTTGAAATTCTGCAAAGGCATATGACCAGACATAAAAAATTATTTTCTAAAATGTGAAAAATGTGAGGAAAAAATTCAATAAATTTAGATAACAGAAAAATAAAGCTTGTGCATGTTTTTCCTGAAAGAATAGAAGATACAGTAGGTAGAGTAATAATTTCTCTTATTAAACGTAAACGCATGTGAGCCCTCAAATCCAAACTTGTACATACAGTGACATATTGCATGTACTGAATGCAAGACATTTGAGTGTGTTTGATGTGTGCAGTAGTGCTGTGTTCGATACATCGATACGACGATGTATCGTCACAGAGATTTGACGATACGAGTATCGATACAGCTGTCCCAGTATCGATATTGTGGCAAGTGTGCAGCAGTGGACCGCACTTAATTTGAATACAAGAACAACTTTTAAAACGGAGTAGAAAAGTGCAAGGTTTCAAAAAATAATGAATAGAGCATAATATATAGGCTACAACAAGGTTTAATCTGGCCGCAGAGGAACACAACCGGGGTTGCCTGATATAAAGAGACGCAATCCCCAAAACAGAGCTTCCCACTTGCGCAATACGGAAATATCTGCTAAGCATGCTACTTATCTTTGTCAATCTGACAACCATGTGCACGCGCTCTCTCCACTGTGGATAAACGCGCTTGCTTTCTGAAAACACTGGTTAGCTTGCAGTTTAGCGATCTCCACTTCAATATTCTATTCTCAGAAAAGTGTAATTCATCAAGTGTTCATTTATGAGAGAGAGTGAGAGGCGGTGTACTTATGAATTACCACCGTTTTGCCGCGTTTCTCTATTAACAGTGAAGCGGTGTCTTTAATTCCTTTAGAAACAATGATGTTACCAGCTCCTTGTTGAGAAAGTTAATGTAGCTCTAGAGCGATTAAGCTATTTAGTTGATAAAATTGTGGGGCAGCACAAAAAATTTTGTTCTTGAATGTCTGACTGCGTGAATGAGCGTGTGTGCGTTAGATACAGTGAAGACAGCGCATTAGTTTAGAACTCTTCTAATTTTTAGTTTTTTAAACGCAGAGTGTGTTAATTTGTGCAATGATAACCTACCAGCAATGTAAATATGATTTTTTTATATATTAGAATGAGGACATTACACTATAAATTTATTAGAACGAGTACATTATTATTTATGGGCTTAAAAACAAGATGCAAACAATCAGAATATTGTACCTGGTGGGGAGGTGCCCAATGTAAACATGAAACATATGCCATTACCTATATTGTAGGCTACTGTGGTACAGCTATGGAGGCCCTTCATAATGCAGAGGTCAACTGCCTGCTCTGCCAATAGTTAGAAATGGTACTATAGTATGCAGTGTTTAATAAACAGCAGTTTTACTAAACTCTTCTGAGGTGAAATTCAATGCAGTCCCGTATTGTGATATGTATCGTATCGTGGCCTCTGTATCGTGATGCGTATCGTATCGTGACTTTGCTGGTGATACACAGCTCTAGTGTGCAGTGTGGGTTGGTGTTTGTGTCGTACCTGTGTGGATCTGCCGGTGGGCCTCAAGAGCATCTTCCTTCTGAAACTGAGCTCCACACTGGTCACAAACGATGGCTTTCTCACCAGCTACAAGACAAAAAAAAATGCAAAAGTTATTCAATCTACATTAGTTTGGAGGTCCTCGGGTGGTGCATGGTGTCATATCTCTTATTTGAACCCCCAGTAATATGTAAAATGATTTGGTGCCTGCGAGCTGGAAGTCTGCTGGATTCACTTGAAATGAAAGCAATGTATCATAAGAGGGATTTATCATTCAAGGCACACTTTCACTAAAAATCACACAAATGCTGTCAAACACAATCCTAAAACGAAGATAAAAACAAGAAGCCATACATATCACATCCGCATAGCATGTTCAGATGTTGCAATGGGACACCAAGAGGAACAGTGAGACCACAGGATGCCAATATACAATCTGATCTATAAATCAGAATTAAGCAGAAACACTATTGCATTCACACTGTATTTATCTGCTCGATCAAAAGGGAGTTTTTATAATTTGTAACAGAACTGTCAGCTCTCGTCATTATGTCTTTAAATCTTACCGCCTTCACAAGCACAACAGGAAGTCATAGCTTAGATTAAAAAAAACAAACCAAAGTCCATTTCGTAACCACTGTAAAGTTGCAAAATGTACTGTACGGTCAAGCAGTAGAAAAAAAGTGTTTTTCTTTCTTTTCTTGCAGATGATGCCACTCAGCAATAAACTTATAAATGTGGCACAGACAAGTTCCTCTAAATGGCTCAAGAAATCAAACATCATTATTAAAACAAAAAACTGCACATAAAGAGGAACTACCACAGACCTCAGAACTGGTTACTTCAGTGTATTCATACCCAATAATTGTTAACCATAAAACATTGTTTCTTCTGCAATGGGTGCTGTATTTAAAGTGCAGAGAAACTGTAAGTAAGCAATCCGAAGTTTAACTTTCCAAAAACTGTAAATACGGTCTCTACTCCACACTGGTCACAAACGATGGCTTTCTCACCAGCTACAAGACAAAAAAAAATGCAAAAGTTATTCAATCTACATTAGTTTGGAGGTCCTCGGGTGGTGCATGGTGTCATATCTCTTATTTGAACCCCCAGTAATATGTAAAATGATTTGGTGCCTGCGAGCTGGAAGTCTGCTGGATTCACTTGAAATGAAAGCAATGTATCATAAGAGGGATTTATCATTCAAGGCACACTTTCACTAAAAATCACACAAATGCTGTCAAACACAACCCTAAAACGAAGATAAAAACAAGAAGCCATACATATCACATCCGCATAGCATGTTCAGATGTTGCAATGGGACACCAAGAGGAACTGTGAGACCACAGGATGCCAATATACAATCTGATCTATAAATCAGAATTAAGCAGAAACACTATTGCATTCACACTGTATTTATCTGCTCGATCAAAAGGGAGTTTTTATAATTTGTAACAGAACTGTCAGCTCTCGTCATTATGTCTTTAAATCTTACCGCCTTCACAAGCACAACAGGAAGTCATAGCTTAGATTAAAAAAAACAAACCAAAGTCCATTTCGCAACCACTGTAAAGTTGCAAAATGTACTGTACGGTCAAGCAGTAGAAAAAAAGTGTTTTTCTTTCTTTTCTTGCAGATGATGCCACTCAGCAATAAACTTATAAATGTGGCACAGACAAGTTCCTCTAAATGGCTCAAGAAATCAAACATCATTATTAAAACAAAAAACTGCACATAAAGAGGAACTACCACAGACCTCAGAACTGGTTACTTCAGTGTATTCATACCCAATAATTGTTAACCATAAAACATTGTTTCTTCTGCAATGGGTGCTGTATTTAAAGTGCAGAGAAACTGTAAGTAAGCAATCCGAAGTTTAACTTTCCAAAAACTGTAAATACGGTCTCTATGGAAAATTCTAAACATTGCTGCTTGAGTGGTCCGACATCTCAACTTCTGGCTTGATCATTTGTATAATATTGGGGTGGACTACCTGTTTGAATTTGAATTAAATTAGCATTGAAGTGGCAAAAAGTATGCAGAATGATCAAATGACAGATAGATATACAGTACAGATATGAGACAGACAGACAAAACGATAGAATGATAAACGTATAGAACAAACAATAGAACAAACGTTAAAACAATGGCAGAACAATATACACTAGCTGCATTTCCTTTATCCTTCAAATTGTGCAAACTGAAATTGCAAATTGAAAATACACCCAATGGAAACGTGTCAATTTTGCAAAAACTCCCATATATCGCAAAACGTTTTTACGCTCACATGAGGTGGTTTTTCAGGCAATTTGAAATTTCCAAAAACTGCAAGGGAAAGTTCGCATTTACAGGTCACCTAGTGTACGTAAAAGTCACATGATCATTCTTTAATCTACTATAACCTCCAAGAAACACCTCATATGTTGCCACTCAAGTATAAGGGGCTTTCCTTGACAATAATGCTTGGCTTTCCTTGCCATTAATGCTTAGATAACACCTTATTTACACTTCACATGTCTGCGGAGCATTACGGCTCCGACACAGCCACACTAGTCAATGCTTGTGTTTATTTCAGACACGCCACGGCATGTTTCAGAAGCGGCTCTTCGCACTGCTTAGCTAAAGATATACACCTACGTCTCGTTCGATTAAAAATAATGGCTAGTGTGGTGGCCGTGATATACATAAACCTACAAACATCTGTCACCATGACTTATCGCAAGAGGAAAAAATTGTTTTAGTCGAATAAGTTTGGTTAATGGAAACACTGTCATTATGCAATAGCTTTTTTATCGACATATATAAAATATCGCAAAAGTTTTGCACAAATCTGTAATGGAGGCATGACTAGATAGATAGAATGATAGATAGGCAGATAGACAGAGTTAGATAAAAATACATAGACAGATAGATAGATTTTGCCCAATCCTGGTATTAAAGGAACACTCCACTATTTTTGAAAATAGGCTAATTTTCCAACTCCCCTAGAGTTAAACAGTTGAGATTTACCGTTTTCGAATCCATTCAGCCGATCTCTGGGTCTGGCGGTAGCACTTTTAGCTGCAGCTTAGCATAGATCATTGAATCTGATTAGACCGTTAGCATCTCGCTCAAAAATGACCAAAGAGTTTTGATATTTTTCCCATTTAAAACTTGACTCTTCTGTAGTTACATTGTGTACTAAGACCGACATTTTAGCCAAACTCATTTCAAACAAGGTTATCTTATTATATTATTGTTGTTACCTTATAGACTCAAGAATACATCCATTCCAGACACGGAAGATGCTCTGATTTGAATTTACAACATTTATTTTACCAACCAAACATGTTAGAAGTACACACACATAAATTTAAATAAAGACGAACCCCGGCTGGCCGGCCATCGGTCCCTTTCTCTGTGTCAGACTTAACTTTGTTTGGTTTTCGTCTTCTAAATCAGTGTTTCCCAACCTTTCTTTAGTCACGGCACCCTTTGGAAATTTTTACAAATTTGTGGCACCCTACAAAATTAATTTGGTCACAATATTTGAATTTCTAACTTCGATATGATAATTTGAAAAGTATAGATATTTGGTACAACAGAGAAGAACTGCAGAATATAATGTCATACAGATATTTTTAATATTATAAAAAATCAGTAGGCTAATTTCTAATGAAGAGACCAATTTATATGACAGATTTTAATGTAGGCTTTTATTCATAAACATTGTGAGATAGTTATAATGGTAATTAAACAGTTTTGCTCGCTCAGTGTATTTTTGTAGGGCTATTAAGAGATTATTATTATTATTTTTTTTTACCAATTATCCAAATAATGTTTAATCTTAGAAAGCTATTATTATCAGGACACATGAGCATAGCGGTTAGCAGATCAATGAATGAGAGGGCAGCGTTACCAGAGTTGCCCATGTACCACACCATGTTACAACACAGTAGGGCTATTGCAGACAGAAACAATACTGTACTACATCGATGTTTCCTGTCAGCTTGATTTCTGAGTGGACTTTGCTGTTCCAATGAGCACTCACATGGGCCGTGAGCGACAGAGCGGAGCACACGCGCGCATAGAGCGGGATAACGCACACACAGAGCGGGATAATACCATACAGTCTATGGATAATACACACACGCATAGAGCGGGATAACACACAAGTGAATCCTAAGCGGTGAACTCATTTTCGGCAGCCGGAATTTCTGTGCATCTCTAATTATTGGCGGCATTAGAAATGGATATTATATAATAGCTG